ACCAGCCAGACACTTAAGGGACTCACCTCAGACAAAGCCCGCCGCCCTTCCTCTCAGCAGCACACCTGCGCAAACCCCACTGCTTCCTGCACCCCGTGTGCTGGGGTCTGGCCGTCCTGCAGGCTCCACGCCGGGCAAGGGGAATTTTTGCTTTGGTGTTGTGTATTTCCAAGAGAATTTTTCAGAGACTTTAGTACACAAGCACATGGAGCATAATATCTTACATGTTAAAAATGTAGTACTAGGGCTGAGAAGTTGGCTCAGTGGTAGAGTGCTTGCCTTGCATGCATGAGCCCCTGCTTTGATTACTCAGAATCACATGAGCAAAAAAAGCCAGAAGTGGTGCTGTGCCTCAAGTGGAAGGACATTGAGGGACATCGCTCAGGCACAGAGATCAGCTCCCACAAATGACAAAAAAAAACGTATTACTAGCCACCTAGTTGGTGGTGGCTCAGATCTTTAATCCAGGACACTTAGTAGGCTGAGATCTAAGGAATGAAATTGGAAGCCAATCAGGACTGGAAAGTCCCTGGACTCTCATATCCAATTAACCATCAAAACCCACAAGTGCTGCAGTGGATCAAGTGGTAGAGCATTAACCATGGGTAAAAATGCTCAGTGATAGTCTCCACTCTCTGAATTCAAGCCCCAACACTGGCACAAACACAAATTGGTCTGGGTTTTGTGATTGTTTAGTTTTGTTTGTCCACCAGTCTTGGGGCTTGAACTCAGGGCCTGGGATTTATTACTGAGTCTCTCTGTGCTCAAGGCTACATCTCTACCACTTGAGCCCCAGCACCACTTCTAGTTTTCTGATGTTGTGGAGATAAGTGTCTCATGGACTTTCCTGCCCAGGCTGGCTTGGAACCATAATTCTCAGATCTCTGCCTTGCAAGTAGCTACTATTATAGAAATTAGCCACCAGGGCCCAGAAATGCCTAATTTACCAAAAGCTCAAAATTTTTGGAAATGAAAAACAAAAAACCATTTTGTAAGGTGCCATTGGGTCAGGGCTTTAATCATATTTATTTAAGAGAACAGGAACTCAGAAACTCAGTTTAGAGCCAGTTCAGGCAGAAAGCCTATGAGTCTCTGACTTCCAATTGACTATCAAGAAAACTGGAAGTGATCTATGGGAAAAGTGATGGAGCCCTAACCTTGAGCAAAAACACTCCAAGACAACACCCAGTCCTTCAGCTCAAATCCCTGGGTGAAAAAAAGAAACAACTCATTTTTTTAAAAAAAAGCAGTTTTATTTCGAATATAAGTTCATTTCCAACCTACTGTCTTGTGAGTCTCATTGCTACAAAGGGTAAATTAGTTTTTTTGGTTTTTTTTTTGGGGGGGGGAGTGGTCTGGTTATGGGGCCTGCACTCTGGGCCTGGGTGCTGTCCCTCAGCTCTGCAGCTCAAGACTAGTGCTCTACCACTTGAGCCACAGCGCCACTTCCGGCTTTTTTCTTCTTGCTGATGTGTTGCTGACGAATTGAACCCAGGGCATCATGGATGCAAAGCAAGCGCTCTACCACTGAGCCACTTTCCCAGCCCCCAATGGGTGAATTTGTTATACCCCTTCCACTCCAGATATTAGATAAACGTATATACAAGATGCAAGGTACCAAAATCAAATACAGTGACAACAGGGATGTACCATGCAAAGAAAACAAAGAAAATCATCCCATGGTACATTAAAAACGACAACAAAGAAAAACCCCTTGTGTGCATATCTTGGCACTCATTTTGCATAGCATCATTGTTGTTGTTGTTGTTGGTACACTTTTGTTAATTTCAGATTACAAATTCACTAGGATTTTCAATCCCGGTATTTGTTTTTGTTTTTTCAACTCACTCTGGCACCCAGCCCAGTCACCCCAATGTCAACCCTGAACCTCTGAGTGGGCATTCCCAGCACACCAACTACCAAAGCCAGCTATGCATGTGATGGACTTTCCTTACACGGCTCACCCGCGGTACTGATCTCAAACCGCAGTGAAGCCCCACGAAATGAACATCTTCCCACCAGCCCAAGGGTCGCGGCTCCCTTCCTTCCAGCTCACTCTCATCCACAACTGCACTGTCAGGCTAAAGAGCCGGCTTGGGCAGCAAAGTCTGTGAGGCTTCTATCTCCAGAAAACCAACAGAAATCTGGAGGCAGAACTGTGATCCAAGTGGTAGAGTGGCAGCCCTGAGGAGGAGAAAGGAGGGGGGAGAGTCAGGGAGGACACCAAGGCCTTGAGTTCAAGTCCCAGGACTGACACACACGCACATTACAAGAGGACATAACAAGGAGGGAAAGCTAAGGCATTGGATGACCCTTACTGGCAATACACCACCATCACCCCGAAACACTAACCGGACCCCAGGAAAGCCGTTCCTCCAAACCTCCGTGTCCCCTCCAGACCAGCCAGACACCTAAGGGACTCACCTCAGACAAAGCCCGCCGCCCTTCCTCCCAGCAGCACACCTGCGCAAACCCCACTGCTTCCTGCACCCCGTGTGCTGGGGTCTGGCCGTCCTGCAGGCTCCACGCCGGGCAAGGCACGGGAGGATCCGCTGCCCGGCCTGACAGCAACCATGGCGGAGCCAGGCGCCAAAAGACCGCGGAGGCCGCACGGGGCGGCACAGCCAGGCCCCAGCCCCAGAAAGGACGTCCACAAGTTCCCGCTGCACACAAGGCCTTGCGGGCTTTCCTGAGAGGCCTCCCTTCCCCACGGCGGCCCTTCCTCATGGCTTCCCCCAGGACAGCACCTCAGCGCCAACTTCTCTGCTCCAGACCCCTGTCTCTCCCAGAAACTGCAATGGCGGTCCGGGAGGGGCTGGATTGCCAGTCTGAGCACGCGCACCAGCCGTCCTCCCACTGCGCATGTCCATACGCTGCTTCAGAGGGGCTCAGGCCTGGTCTCAAAATCTAAGGCCCTGGGGTTAAGAGTCCCTGAAACTCAGAACCCAGATTCCTAAATCACAAAGATCACAGGCCTGTGACTCAGATGGCCAGCTCACAGCGCCTTTTTCATACAGAGTTTGCTGAATTCACTTATGTTCACTTTATAGATACACACACACACTCAAATATATATTAATCTATTTTTAATCAATGGTATATTTACACAGAACTATAAGCATTTTTGCTCAAGATGTTTTAGTACGCAGGTATTATTCTGTGACTTGGGACTTGCCCTGGGCTCTTTGTTTACAATTATTTTTCAGACCAACTGTTGAGTTTTGGCCTCCGGCTGGTATTCAATTTCAAGTTCCTCATTTCTGTCTTCCCAGTAGCTCTCATTGATTAGAAGTGGGCAGCTCTACCACCAGATTAACAAAACAACAATTATATAAATAGAATAGTTCTTGAAACGCCAGTAGAAATGCAGAAGTCATGCACCCTATCTCGGAGGTAGGCAGGATGGAGAGCTAACATTTTATATAAACTTGAATCCCTAGACTCAGATTGTAAAGCTAATTGTGTAGTACTTCAGTAGCTTGTATATGTCTGGATTCCAGACTCAAACAACAACAAACAACACTCCAGGATCTTCAATTTTCTCAGGCTGACAAAATTCTTGTCATGTCACATTGAAGTCAGGCTTCAAACCTTTGCTATGAAACATTTATGTGATTTCTTAGAAAATCAGGTTTAAAAAAGATTCCTTGACTGGATGCGGTGGATCTCGCCTGTACTGGTAGCTAGTTGGGAGTCTAAATCTGAGGATCATGGTTCAAAGCCAGATCAGTCAGGAAAGTCCATGAGACTCTTCTCTCCAATTAAGCACCAAAAAATGGAAGGGGAGCTGTGACTCTAAGTGGAAGAGCATTAGCCTTGTGCAAAAAAAGCTCAGAGACAGTGCCCACAACATGAGTTCAAACTCCACAACCAAACAGAGAGAGAAAAAGCGAGAGACAGAGACAGACAGAAAAAGAGCCCAGAGACAGAGAGAGACAGAAACAGACAGACATTGACAGAAATAGAGACAGAGACAGACAAACACAGAAAGAGACAGGAAGACTGAGAAATCACTGACAACTCCATTTAGAAAAATGTATATGGATATCTAAGATGTATATCCTATTCTTCCACAATTCGCTACATAGTACCACCTCATCCTGATCCACATTTGGCTTCCTGGAATCGATTTGGTGTTTCATAAATTATTCCACATGCTCCCATAGAACATAAACAGACCCACACCTACTCACCAATTGTTTATAAGTCTGGGCTTTTTGCTTATATATGTAATATTCCCATTTGTATGTTTTTGTTTCCGTGGTTTAAAGCTACAATTGCCCACATTTCATGTCTAGATGTTTCATCTTTTGTGCCAGTAGTGGAATTTCAACTCAGGGCCTTGAGCTCTTGCGTATTTTTTGTTCAATGCTTAAAGATGTAACTTGAGCCATGCTATGAGTTCCTGACTTTAGCTGGCTCATTGGAGAAGTCTTTCAGAGTTGTCTACAGGGGCTGATTTGAACCTTGAGGAAGTATAGGGCATTCTTGAAGCTACAATTATTGAGATGGGCCAGGACACCTGGCATGTCTTTGTCCCTCTGGCTAAGTCTTCTGTCTTCTATTGATGATGGCTTTTACCTATTTCCTATGTATTTTGTCAAATACTTTTCCCCCAAAGTAAATTTTTGGTGGTATTTGGAGGTGAAATGTCCTTACATATTTGCACAGAGCAAAATGGGGGAGTGTACTGACTTGAATTCACTAATGGAAGAAAGTCCCCCGTACAGAACATTTAGTCTGGCATTTGTCTCAATAGACAGAACAACTTTGAAGGACATCTGGTTTGCTATGTCCTAGAGCTTTAGTAGTGGCCTGATCACCCCATGCAGGCATGGGCTGGGTTCCTTGGCCCTCACAGTGCACTGAACACTTCCCTCTATAGCCAGTAAGTGATCTTGGACAGATCCAGGTCACTCTGTCTTTTGCCCTTACTCAGGAACTATGTGTCTGGGACATCAGATTGTACACGTAAAAAAAGCCAGAGTATTCAACATCCATAAATTTTACAACATAAACATATATCTTTAATAAATTGAGAAGAATAAAAAGAATGCAAATTTTACAACAATCAGGACAAAAAGAAAAAGAGAGATATCCCCAGGGAGAGGGGAGGGAAGCTCTAAGGCTAGGTCGGCTTCTAAGTTGCCTTCAAACATAAATTCTGCCTCAGAATCCTCCAAAGTATCTAGCTCCTCATGAAAGATAGGATTTGCTCCAGCAAAGGCTGGAGAGGCAGATTCTAATTTCTCAGTTGGAGATTGGTTCTGCTGCAGCAGGACAGATTTGTCCAGATGTTCAGTGAGGACAGATTCACTTTCCTGAGCTTCATCTAATGTTGGGACCTCACTCATTGGTTCCCCTGAGCACTGACTGGGGACATTTTCCATCAGCCCCACGTGTGCTACTCCCTCCAGCACGCCAGGAGGCGTGCTGATTTGACCCTTTTTGAGCTGATCTGGGCTGCCTGTGAAAGTCACAGGAAGACAATCACTATTACCTTCTTCTTTCTTTGGGGTCCCTACAAGTTCAGCTCTGTCACATGTGGGCTTCAGAACCACTGTCTTATCCACAGGACTCACAACCTTTTGGGGCCTCACTGCAAATGCATTCAACCCCTCTACATGCACATGCATTGTGTAGTCCAGGGATGGCTCCAGATCCCCATCCATCACAATCCTTGACATCCCCGAGGGCTTCTTCCTTGGGAGGTCAGGAGAAGCTGCTCTATGGCGGCCAAGGCCTGAGAAACAGAAATAGGTAAAGGAGTTTGAGAGTGGATTCTGGATGTTCAGGTGGAGTTCAATTTCCATGAGGCTCTAATGGAGGAAGCTGTACAAGTTTACTTTGGACTGAACACTGATGAGAAGGTAAGGTCTTTCCCAAGAGTGGCTAAGCGCAAGTGCTTTCACCAATAGAACCAACACTGCCTGGCAGAAAATATCATGAAAAGACATTCTTACAACCTGGGGGGTAATAAGGGCTCTCAGGCAATTAGGCTCATCCCTAGAGACCCAGGCGCCATCCCTACTCACAAGCTCTGAGGTGACCACACAGGGACTTCTTCCTCTCTCTCTTGGTCTCATTCTTCCCGCTCTCCTCCAGCTCATCCAGATGAACATGGAGATTGAGGACCAGATCTGAGGAGGGCATGTGGAGCATGGCATAGTGGGTAAGTTCTTTCACCGGGTGTTGGTTCTGGGGCTCTCGGAAATCTGCAGGATAGCAGTCCATCCACATGGTGAAGATGGAACAAAGGCTGCTGTGGGCAGATTGGTGACAAGAAGAGTGAGTGCCTGCCCTCCCTATCCTGGGCCTCCCATAGCCTCTTTCTGCAAGGCTGCTATATACACACTTGCATGCTGGGAAGCAGGAGGAGACTCCTGCAGGCAGAATGATCTTCACCACCCACGTCTAGAAGCTTCTGAAAGATAATTCTCCAATATTCTCACTGTGATAGGTCACAAGAAGGAACTGATTTTGAACACACAGCCCTCCCTGTCATCCCTGAGAGTCCACAACCACAACACAGCTGTGTCCTCTGCTACCACTCCAACCCCAACCCTCTGCCCCTAGTGGAAAGCACAAGTGATGTGCAAATGAGAAATCTGCTCTCTGAATCAGAAGCCTCAAAGATACCATTTTGAATGAAGGGGCCTTTTCTTTGTGCCACAGTCCACTTACTTCTTTCCTTGTTCATCTTCCTCAGAGTTACGGCCCGGGAATCTGTACCTATGGGAGGACAGGAGGAAGTCACCTCTCAGCTTCTCCTTTTCTGCCCACACAGGACACATATGGGATGGGCTCATTCCCAGATGGGAATGGAATCTGACACATAAATATGTAAGATACAGTTCAGTGAAAATTCTGCTAAGAGACTTATATGCATTGGTCCAAGGTAAATGTGACAGTGCTCATGCCTCTAATCCTAGCTAATCAGGAGCATGAGATCTCAGGTGCACAGTCTGATCAGAGATTAGTCAGTAAAAGTCTAAGGACATTAATTTTTAAAAGGCCAGAATTGCACCTATGGTTCAAATGCTGTAGTGGTAGCTCTGAGCACCAAAGAAACAGCACCAAGACGCTGAGTTTAGGTTGAAGGACTGACACACACACAAAAACATAAAAGCTTCAGGGGTTATAAATATGTAAAGCCAACATAATCCCTCCCTGAAATCTCTGAGTTGATTCAGCCTCCAGTTCACCCACCTCCCCACACCCCAGCCTTTCCTGGGTCTACATTATTCACAGACATCCAATTTGTAATGAAACCTTATTTACTCATGGGAAATGTGATTTCCTAGAACCTCACCTAGGGGAGGGCAGAAGTCGTGTGCCATGGGCACATGCCTGTAATCCTAGCCCCTCAGTAAGCAAGCTTCTGAGGTTCCAGGAGCTTTTCTGGGAAATGTCCTGGGCAGACCATTACTAAGAAACTACGCAGGGTATGCACTTTCTTGTCTCATGCCAAGCTCCTGTGAGAAGACCCCCATGAAATCAACAGGTTCAGAGGGGTGCCAAGTATTCCACAACTCAGCCAGGCATAGCTGAACAGTCCCGGTTTTGAAGGGGGAACACTCACTTTTTGAACACAATATCCAGCACTTGCTCCATTGTTGCCCACTGTCTATAATTGTGGAGGAAGTTTCCAACATAGAAGAGATCGCCTTTCTGGTAGGCTGGGACCAGGTTCATCACCAACACGTCCAGCAGGCTTGCCTCCGAGCTCCATATATTGCATGGCACATTCAGGGTCAGGGCTGACGTATTAGCACACTAAGGCGAGACAAAGAATCAGAAAAAAACCATGGAAATGAGAACACTTCCAAATGAGTAATTGTGATAGAGTAGATTGACAACTATGTAGACAGTATTATCTCAGTAAACCTAAATCACATAAGAAGGTTCTACTGTGGACCAGGTTGGGGTTAAGTAGGTTTTCTATCATGAGTATACCTTGCCTGAGATGCCTTGTGATTTCCTAGGTTTCTTTTTGGACAAATCTCTGAGATGGTTGGTTCGTGGCTTGCCACTGATCCAGTGTCTACAGCTTTGACTGAGGCACCCATCCTTCTCTTGGCTGAGACCAGAGTCTCGAGACCTGCGAATACAGCACAAGAACATGTTTCTGGTTCCTGAGTCACAGGCCAATTGAGCTGGCTTGAGCCAACTGTGAGTTACCGTGGCCTGCTATCAGGGTTCCATGTTCTATTCCATTGTGAAGGAGGCAGGGTCACCTGTCAGGCCCAATGACCTCTGCTGCTTCCTCACGCAAGAAATATTCCCATCCACCCAATATTGCAATGTGTACATGTAGACAAGTTAACAGCACACCTTGTTTGTCCAATCCTAATCTGCTAGTCCTAGGTTCTGGCATGTTCTCTGCTTCCAGGAGTCACTCCTAGGTCACATTCATGGCATATCTGTCACTATTCCTCTTATCTGGCTCAAATTATTTTGGCTCTCAGGGCCTTCTGTGACTGCCACATCCTTCTGGCACATATTTTGACATCAACATCCTAGGTCACTGTTTACTTTCTGTAGCCTAATCTGTTTGTCCTTGGAACCCCTCTCTGGTGTCATCTGGAGCCAATGCAAATGCTTAGAGATGGGAAATTGAAAGGAATATTGGAAAACATACATTACATATATAATTAGCCTTTATTACAGGTGACTATTTGTTTGGCCATTTCTGTGGCTTCACTTCAGCCTGGGCACTCCCCGAGCTCTTTTGCTCAAGGCTAGCACTCTACCACTGAGCCACCTTGCCAGCCACAGGTGTCCATTTTTGTAAGTGAGAAAATTATTTTTTATACTTGAAATATTTCATGGAGGCAAGCAGAGAAAGGAAGAGCTGCTGCATTGTCTTTTTATGATGACGAGGATTTGTTTTACTATAGCTTTGAAGGAATGTAGTATTTAAGGTAGAAAACTGCTCCTTTAGGTCTTACAAGCTAATCGTTTATATAGTCATTTGCCTCTGAAGTCTTTGCTTCTGTGTCCCATGATCTATCCTCCTCCCTCAACACAAACGGGAAGAAGAATTTCACACATTGCTGAGCTGTTGTCCAGTCTCTGCATAGGAACTGAAAATACAATATTTACTGTGGAGTGTGTGTGTGTGTGTGTGTGTGTGCATTTCTGATCTTGGAACCTTTGCGCTATCCCTGAGCAATGTTCCTCAAAACTAGTGCTTTACCACGAGACACAGGTCCACTTTGAGCTTTTTGTAGTCAGCTGGAGATGAGAGATTCATGGAACTTTCCTACCCAGCATGGACATTGCTCCTCTTCAGCCTCATCGTTCCTCAACTGTGGCAATGGCTGTTCAGTTTCTGGATTTCCCATCCAAGCACAGACACAAGCCATCCTCCACTGCACATGTCTCTTTGTGTCCCTTGAGGGGCTCAAGTCTCTCTCGAAACTTAGTGCCCTGAGGATAGAACCTCTGAAACTCAGAACCAAGTTTCCTGATTAATTGGGATCACAGGCCTGAGCTATATATGAACAGCTCATTACCTGCCATCGCACATTTTTGGGGGGATAGGGGATTGTTTGTTGGGCTTGAACTCTGGGCCTGGACCCTGTCCCTCAGCTTTTCAGCTCAAAGCTAGGGCTTTACCACCTTGAGGCACAGTACCACTTCTGGTTTTCTGGTTGTTTATTGGGAGATCAGAGTCTCATGGATGTTCCTGCCTGGCTGACTTTCCGCTGTGATCCTCAGATCTCAGCCTCTCCAGTAGCTAGGATTATAGGCATGGGCCACCAGCGTCCAGCACATGACCCCTTTTTGCAACAGCATTTGGCGAATTTAACTATGTTGACGTGAGACAGATATACCTACACAATATATGGGAATCAATGGTATATCACTGAATTCCCAAATAATGTCTTTTACATTATTGTTTTGTGAAACAACATATTCGAGATCCATAATATCATATGCTAGTCCTCCTATAAAATACAAATATATGTATTATCATGTAGTATATGATATGATATATTTATATATATTATATATAATATGTAAGTGATGTATATAGTGAACACAGAAAATAATCCCAATTTTGGAATTTAGCCTTTCCTGTCACAATGTTACCCAAGTCTTCTGTTAGACATACAGATTTTCATCAACAATCTCCCTTGTTAGTCGTTTTTTAGTTCTTGAATAAATGAGTCTTCTTTACCACCAATAGTCTACACACAAAAATGATATGGATCAGTGTCTCTGGCTCAGGCCTGTATTCTTTGCTAGTCAGGAGGCTGACATCTGAGGATCATGGTTCAAAGCCAGCCAGGTCAGGAAATGCTATCAGATTATCTCCAGCTGTAGCTCAAAGTGGTAGAGTGCTAGCCTTGAGTGAAAGAACTCAGAGACAGTGGCCAGCTTTTAAGTTCAAGCACCACCATTCTGTACACACGCCCCCTACACGCACACTCTTCACTCGGTCCCTTCTTAAATCCTCTGTCCTCTTCACTGAACTGGTGATTGCCAGAGTTTCTGGATTTCCCACTCCAGCATGCCAACCAGACATGTTCCCTCTGCACATGCACCTCTGCCACACTGCAGGGCCCAGGCCTCCTCTCAGAATCCACTGCCCTGGGATAGAGAGCAGATGAAATTCAAGGATTCTCAGAATATGTGCTTCAAGACAGGGAGACTCAGAACTGTTCCTCACCTGGTATACAGAGACACATTGATCCATTTGTGTAGAACAATGCCAACATGGTTAGAATATAAGTTTTTCACTACCACAAACGACACCCTTTTCCAAATACTGTTAAATATTCCCTCAAATTTTCTTAAATGTTACATCAAAGTACATCTATTTCCATGTTAGAGGTTGTAGCTTCTGATACAATGAACGGGAAAAGGCAGCCAAAATGACTTCTTACAGAGAAAAACGCCTAGCCCAAGTAAGCTAATATGTGCAGCAAGCTCATTTCCAGACCATTCTCCAAATGCAGGCATGAGTCTCTTATTGTGTCATCTTGATAACTTACAGTCCATATCCACCCTCATGAAGACTTAGAAAATCTTCATGGAAACCCAACGCAAGGAACATCTTAAGAACATAAAACAGCACCAAATATTTAATTCTAGCTTTAAACATTTATATGTTCTATATTTGCACAGTGCAGAATTGTTCATTGTTGGCAGAGAGCTTCAAACATCAACACATTTACCCGACTAGCTGGAAAGGGGAAGTTATCCCTAGAAAGAGGTGGGGGCTTGAGATTCAAGTGGGACCAGCTTTCAAAGACACCTGTTCTGATATAACACAGAGCTTTTGTGTCTCAGCATCAAGGGTCCTATCTCGGCACAGGCTGCATCCTCCACTGCCTGCATTCCTTGTGGCTCCCTCTAGTCACCAGTTCCTTGTATATCCAGATTTGTTCCCCAGATCCAGCACACTCTGCTTCCTCCCAATGAGGCCCCATGTGCCCAGGATATTAGATTGGAGGTAGAAAAGACCAGAGTATTTTGTATTCAAGAATTTTACAACATCATGTAAACGTGGACATTTTAATACTGTTAAAACAATAAATAGTAAAACAGGCAAATGTGCAGAGAGGAGGGAGGCAAGGTCTAACACACACACACACAAAAAGATTCCCTGACTGGACACTGTGGATCATGCCTGTACTGCTAGCTAGTCAGGAGTCTAAATGGGAGGATCATGGCTCATAGCCATATCTGGCAAGAAAGTCCTCTTCTGTCCAATCAACCACCAGAAAACTGGAAGGGGAGCTGTGACTCTAAGTTGAAGAGCATTAGCCTTGTGCAAAAAAAGTTCAGAGACAGGTCCCACAACATGAGTTCAAGCTCCACAACAAAACAGAAGAGAGGAAGAGACAGAGAGAGAAAGAGAGAGAGGGAGAGAGAGAGAGAGAGAGAGAGAGAGAGAGAGAGAGACAGAGAGACAGAGAGACAGAGACAGAGGCTGAGGCAGAGGCAGAGACAGAGACAGACAGAGACACAGACAGACAGAAACAGAGACAGAAAGATAAACACAAGAAAACAGACAGGAAGACTGAGAAATCCCTTACCACTCCAATTAGAAAGTGAATATGCATATCAAAGATGTATTTCCTATTCTTCCACAATTCACTACATAGTACCACATCATCCTGATCCACATTTGGCTAACTAGAACCTATTTGGAGTTTCATAAATCATTCTACACGCTCCCACAGAACATGAACAGGCCCACACCTACTCACCAATGGTTTGTAAGTCTGGCCTTTTTGCTTAAATATGTAATTTTCCCATTCGTATGTTTTTCTGTTTCCATCGTTTAAAGCTACCATTGCCCACATTTCATGTCTAGATGTCTTCATCTTTTGTGCCAGTAGTGGAATTTGAACTCAGGACATTGAGCTCTTGCTTACTTTTTGTTCCATTCTGAAACATGTAACTTCAGCCATGCTAGGACTTGTTGACTTTTGCTGGCTCATTGGATAAGTCTTTCAGATTTTTCTACAGGGGCTGATTTGAAGCTCCATCCTGAGGAAGTATAGAGCACTCTTGAAACTAGAATTATTGAGATGGGCCAGGACACCTGGCATGTCTTTGTCCCTCTGACTAAGTTTTCTTTCTTCTATTGATGATGGCTTTTACCTATTTCCCATGTATTTTGTCAAATACTTTTCCCTCAAAGTAGCTTTTTGATGTTATTTTGAGGTGAAATGTTCTTACATATTTGCACAGAGCAAAATAGGGGTGCGTACTGACTTGACTTCACTAATGGAAGAAAGTCCCCCATTTAGTACATTTAGTCTGACAGAACAACTTTCAAGGACATCTGGTTTGCTATGTCCTAGAGCTTTAGTAGTGGCCTGATCACCCCATGCAGGCATGGGCTGGGTTCCTTGCCCCTCACAGTGCACTGAACACTTCCCTCTATAGCCAGTTAGTGCTCTTGAACAGCTCCAGGTCACTCTGTCTTTTGCCCTTACTCAGGACACATGTGTCTGGGACATCAGAATGTACATTAAAAAACCCACAGTATTTAGGATCTATAAATTGTACAACATAAACATACATCTTAATGAATTTAGAAGAATAAAAAGAATGAACATTTTACAACAATCAGGACAAAAAGAAAAGAGAGATATCCCCAGGGAGAGGGGAGGGAAGCTCTAAGTCTAGGCTGGCTTCTAAGTTGCCTTCAGACATAAATTCTACCTCAGAATCCTCCAAGGGATCTACCTCCTCATGAAAGATAAGATTTGCTCCTGGAGTTGAGAGAGAGGCAGATTCTAATTTCTCAGTTGGAGATTGGCTCTCCTGCAGCCGGACAGATTTGTCCTGATGTTCTGTGAGGACAGATTTACTTTCCTGAGCTGAATCTAACGTTTGGACCTCACTCATTGGTTCCCCTAAACACAGACTGGGGACATTTTCCTTTATCCCCATGTGTGCTACTCCCTCCAGCACACCAGGAGGAGTGCTGATTTGACCCTTTTTGAGCTGATCTGGGCCGCCTGTGAAAGTCACAGGAAGACAATCACTATTACCTTCTTCTTTCTTTGGGGTCCCTACAGGTGCAGCTCTGTCACATATGGGGTTCAGAACCAGTGTCTTATCCACAGGACTCACAACCGTTGGGGCCTCACTGCAAATGCATCCAACCCCTCTACATGCACATGCTTTGTGGAGTCCAGTGAGGGCTCCAGATCTCCATCCATCACCATCCCTGACATCACCGAGGGCTTCTTTCTTGGCAGGTCAGGAGAAACTGCTCTATGGTGGCCAAAGCCTGAGAAAGAGAAATATGTAAAGGAGTTTGACAGTGGTCTCTGGATGTTCAGGTGAAGTTCAATTTCCATGAGGCTCTAATGGAGGAAGCTGTACAAGTTTACTTTGGACTGAACACTGATGAGAAGGTAAGGTATTTCCAAAGAGTGGCTAAGCTCAAATCCTTTCACCAATAGAACAAACTGCCTGGCCCAGAGTATCATACAAAGACATTCTTACAACCTGGGGGGTAATAAGGGCTCTCAGGCAATTAGGCTCATCCCTAGAGGCCCAGGCGCCATCCCTACTAACACGCTCTGAGGTGACCACACAGGGACTTCTTCCTCTGTTTCTTGGTCTCATTCTTCCTGGTCTCCTCCAGCTCATTCAGGAGACTGTGGAGGTGGAAGAGCAGGTCCGAGGAGGGCATGTGGAGCATGGCATAGTGGGTCAGTTCTTTCACCGGGTGTCGGTTCTGGGGCTCTCGAAAATCAGCAGGATAGCAGTCCATCCACATGGTGAAGATGGAACAAAGGCTGCTGTGGGCAGATTGGTGACAAGAAGAGTGAGTGCCTGCCCTCCCTATCCTGGGCCTCCCATAGCCCCTTTCTGCAAGGCTGCTATATGCACTCTTGCATGTTGGGAAGCAGGAGGAGACTCCTGCAGGCAAGGTCATCTTTACCACCCAGGTCTAGAAGCTTCTGAAAGATAATTCTCCAATATTCTCACTGTGATAGGTAACAAGAAGGAACTGATTTTGTACACACAGCCCTCCCTGTCATCCCTGAGAGTCCACAACCACACCACAGCTGTGTCCTCTGCCACCACGCCAATCCCAAGCCTCTGCCCCTAATGGAAAGCACAAGTGGTGTGCAAATGAGAAATCTGCACTTTGAATCAGAAGCCTCAAAGATACCATTATGAACGAAGGGGCCTTTTCTTTGTGCCACAGTCCACTTACTTCTTTACTTGTTCATCTTCCTCGGAGTTAGCGCCCGGGAATCTGTACCTATGGGAGGACAGGAGGAAGTCACCTCTCAGCTTCTCCTTTTCTGCCCACACAGGACACATATGGGATGGGCTCATTCCCAGATGGGAATGGAATCTGTCACATACACAAGTGAGATATGTCTATACAGTTCAGTGAAAATTCTTCTATGAGAGGTATATGTATTTGGTCCAAGGAAAATGTGCCAGTGGCTAATTCCTCAAATTCTGGCTCATCAGGAGCATGAGCTCTCAGGTGCACAGTCTGATCAGACATTAGTCAGTAAAAGTCTAAAGACACTAATTTTTAAAAGACCAGAATAGCACCTATGGTTCAAATGCTGTAGTGGTATCTCTGAGCACCAAAGAAACAGCAATAAGGCCCTGAGTTCAGGTTGCAGGACTGGCACATACACAAAATCATAAAAGCTTCAGGGGTTATAAATATGTAAAGCCAACATAATCCCTCCCTGATGTCTGTGATTCAGCCTCCAGTTCACCTGCCTCCCCCACACCCCAGCCTTTCCTGGGTCTACATTATTCACAGACATCCAATTCCCAATGAAACCTTATTTACTCATGGGAAATGTGAATTTCTAGAACCTCACCTAGGTGAGGGCAGAAGTTGGGTGCCAGTGGCACATGCCTGTAATAACAGCCCCTCAGTAAGCAAGCTTCTGAGGTTCCAGTAGCTTTTCTGGGAAATGTCCTGGGCAGACCACTACTAAGAAAGTTGGCAGGGTGTGCACTTCTTTGTCTCATGCCAAGCTCCTGTGAGAAGACCCCCATGAAATCAACAGGTTCAGAGGGGTGTCAAGTATTCCACAACTCAGCAAGGAGGGGCTGAACAGACCAAGATGCGAAGGAAGGAGGAACACTCACTTTTTGAACACAATAGCCAGCACTTGCTCCATTGTTGCCCACTGTCTATAATTGTGGAGGAAGTTTCCAACATAGAAGAGATCGCCTTTCTGGTAGGCAGGGACCAGGTTCATCACCAGCATGTCCACCAGGCCTGCCTCCGGGCACATTCAGGGTCAGGCCTGACTCATTGGAACACTAAGGTAGGAAAAAGAATCAGAAAAACTGGTGGAAATGAGAACACTTCCAAATGAGTAATTGTGATAGAGTGGATTGAAATCTATGCAGAAAGCATTATCTCAGTATAAACAAATCACCTAAAAAGGTTCTCCTGTGGACTGCATGAAGCCCTGGGTTTGATTCCTCAGTATCCCATAAACAAAAAAAGTGTGAAGTGGTGCTGTGGCTCAAGTTTTAGAGGACTACCCTTGAGCAAATGAGGCTCAGGGACAATGCCCAGGCCCTGAGTTCAAGCCCCTAGGACCAGCAAAAAAGAAAAAAAAAAAATCCAGGGCTGATGACAATAGCACCTCCCTGTGAGAATACAAGATTCTTTCCAACCCTCCTAGATGGGGAGAAAGTAAGTCACAAGTGAAAAGAGGGCAGAGAAAAGAGGAAGGCCAGGAGGGAATTTTTAATGCATTACCTGTGTTAATGACTTTTGGGATAGGATCGATTTCTTCATCTACAATGAATGGCTCTGGCCTGGGGAAGACCTGGACGTCAGCGGTCAGGTGGCCACACTTGAGCACAGCATGGAAAGGCGTATATGCCAGGTCTATCAGCTTTCTAGAAGATGATCATGACTGGTTAAGGGAGGAAGAGTTCACATGTGGTACACATAAAAGGACTGTACATATGAAAGTAACATTTCAAGATGTAAAGTTGGTTAAACCTTCACACTGATTCCAAAACTAAATCTACTTGTGAAATGGAAAATATTTTGATGTTTTTAAAGAGGAAATTTCAATTGAGAGAGAAACCCCAGAGCAAGTTAAACTTGGGAACAGCTGAGTCTTTTTAAAGCATGACCACCTTATTTTACCTAAGAAACGGGCAACTGTGGAAAAAAAAAAAAACTGTTAGAAATAATACAGTAACTGAGAGGTTGCCGAAATAGCTCAGTTGGGAGAACGTTAGACTGAAGAAATAATACAGTAACTGTTCTTCTTGGTTGTCAAATTATAATATGAGATTGTAAAGAAGCCCCCGCCCCCCACCCCTCAAAAAACAACTTTAAGGCATATACTCACCCAAACATAGACTGCACGTTTTTCAAGTACAGGGGGCCATCAATAGTAAAAATTTGCCCTTCACCATTGCTGAGGTCTATGAGACGTTCAAGGCATTCCAGGGAATCGGTGCTCTGAAGCTACAAAGCAAGAGAGGACACCTTTAAAGTAGAACAAATCACCACATCACTACCAGCACACCAAGGCCACAGCCACTGTAACAAAATGGGCAATAAACGGTTTGTTTGGTTTGTTCTTTTGGTTCTGGTACTGGGGCTTAAACTCAAGGCCTTACACTTTTTTTTTTTTTGTCAGTTGCAGGGGTTTAACTCAGGGCTTGAATGCTGTCCCTGAGCCTCTATGTATTCAAAGCTAGTGCTCTACCACTTCAGCCTAGAGCTACTTCCAGTTTTTTTGAGTGGTTACTTGGAGATACGAGTCTCAAGACCCAAGTCTCAAGTGGAGCCACAGCTCCACATCCAGTTTTTTTGGTAGTTTTGGTAGATAAGAGTCTCACGGACTTTCCTGCCCAGGCTGGCTTTGAACCATGATCTTCAGATCTCAGCCTCCTGAGTAGCTAGGATTACGGGTGTTGAGTCCGTGAGATGATTTTCTTAACAGTCAATATCAGAAGGAAGTAACTACAGGGGCTGGGAAGGTGGCTCAGTGGTAGAGCGCTTGCCTTGCATGCATGAGGCCCTGGGTTCAATTCCTCAGCACCACATAAGCAAAAAGAAAAAAGCCAGAAGTGGTGCTGTGGCTCAAGTGGTAGAGCGCTAGCCTTGAGCTGAAGAGCTGAGGGTCAGCACCCAGTCCCAGAGTTTAGGCCCCACGACCGGACCCCCCCCCCAAAAAAAAATACAAATAAAGAAGGAAGTAACACAACAATTGTTCTGTGTGTGTGCCAGTTCCTGGGCTCAATTCCAGAGCCTAGGTGCTGTCCTTGAGCTTTTTGCTCAAGGCTAGCACTCTACCACTTGAGCCACAACTCCACTTCCAGATTTTTTTGTAATTTAGTGGAGATACTGAGTCTCATGGACTTTCTTACCTCAACTATTGCAATCTGCCTCAAGGTTACAAGAGGTACTTCATTCATAAGTAGTTCTGCAGATTCTCAGGAGACCACAGTTAGTAGCCATACAGCATCTTCCCTACAACCTCTTTCTGACATGGTTTGGCAAGAGCCATCAATTATCAGCATTTTAGAGAGAGAAAAACTGAGGTAAAGTGAAATAATTCCTGACTCAATGGGAAAAGCAGGAAGTATTTAATAAAACACATCAGAAGCCAGGTGCTGGTGGCTCATGCCTGTAATCCTAGCTACTCAGGAGGTTGAGAGCTGAGGATGGTAGTTTGAAGCCAAGCCTGAGTAGTAAAATCTGTGATCTTCAGCTCCACTAAACTACCAAAAAAGCCAGAAGTGGAGCTGTGGCTCAAAATGGTAGAGTGCTAGTCTTGAGCAAAAAGCTCAGGGACAGCATCCAGGCTTTGATTTTAAGCCCCAATCCCAGCACCACAACAAACAAACAAAAAGACTTATGTTCCCCCCTTCCAAAAAAAGCCCCTCCCCAAAACAAAAAAAAACTAAAGTATACCTCTGTCAACATTTCTGGAGGAATGGACAGAAAAAAAAGAACATCTCAACCCTTCATGGTCATCAGCAGAATGGGCATCTCCAGCTATACTCTCGGAGAGGTGAGTGTTGTTATGTCAAAGAGCATGTGAAATCAAGTCTTTTCAAATCTAAATGTTATACCGTACGCAAGAGTGTTCATTGAATATACTGACAAATAAACCGAGCCCTGGGATTTACCTAACCCATCTAAAAAGCAGTTAGCAGAAGGTATTATCTCTTCCAGGTTTGCCATGCACATGATGTATAACTTAGACGGGAAAGGGAAAGGCAGCGGGAACCTGTTGCTGTCGCTCCTTTGATTGTGTGTCGCTAGGGAATGTCGCAGGGACCCTCTACCAATGTCGAGACAGCTGTCCGTCACCAGAACGACCTGTGTGCAGAGGACAAGTATCCATTAAGCCACATGCCCAACAGCTCCACCCAGGTTTGCTTTCACTGCTACAGGAATGTGCAGGGAGCTTTGTGGGGTGATGGGTATGTTCTAGGTCTTAATTGTAGTAAGGATATACATACATGCTTCCATTTGTGAAAATCTAGCAAACTGTGTGATTTATTTGTTTGTTTATGTGCTGGTCTTGGGGCTGGAACTCAGGGCCTGGGCTCTATTTGTGAACTACTTTGCTCAAGACTGGTGTTCTTCCACTAGAGCCACACCTCTACTTTTGCCTTTTTACTTGTTAGCTGGAGATAAAAGTCTCACAGACTTTCCTGCCCAGGCTAGCATCAAACCATGATCTTCAGGCCTCTTGAGTAGGTAGGATTACAAGCATGAGCCCCTGAGGCCTGGCTTATTTTTTTTAATTGTCTTTTTTTTCTCTTGGCAGTCATGGTACTTGAACTCAGGGCCTGGGTGCTATCCCTGAGCTCTTTTTGCTCAAGGCTAGCACTCTACCACTTTGAGTCACAATTGCACTTCTGGTTTTCTGATGGTTAATTAGAGATAAGAGCCTCATAGACTTTCTTGCTGGGCTGACTTTGAACATGGATCCTCAGATCTCATCCTTCTAAGTTACTTGGATTATACATGTGAGCCACTGGCCCCCAGCTGAAATTATCTTTAACTAGTTATACCACAGGGTTTTAATTCAACGTCAACTGATATGTAGAATACACTTTGATCAGTGTCAACCTTTCTATCATTTTTCCATGTACTCCAAACTTACCCATCTGAAGTTTTCTAGTCCCAGTTTCAATATGTACATTGAATATTATGACCGTTTTTGTCCACCATTCTTTCTCTCTCTCTCTGCTCTCCTTAACATCCATCCTCATAGACAAGACCAAACCATGTATTTTGAACTTATGCATTTAAAACAAAAATGCAGGTACTAGAGCTTGAACTCAGGGCCTGGGTACTGTCCCTTAGCTTTTCCTGCTCAAGGCTAGCACTCTCCCATTTGGCCCACAACTCTACTACCAACTTTTTAGTGTTTAACTGGAGATGAGAGTTTCCTCTTTCCTGCCTGGGTTGGCTTTGAATGGAGATCCTCAAATCCTAGTCTTCTGAGTAGCTAGGATTACAGGCGTGAGCCACTGGTGTCCCACAAGAGCAAGTCTTTATGATTCTCTTCACTTTTTAGACAACTCAGTTGAGATGGTTAGAAATTTGCTGAATAACTGCTACACCGAGATAATGAAGAACAGACACTATTGTTCCGTGTTTACAATTCTACCACACAAAATTATAATCCGTCCTTTAGTGAATAGTTATAAATTCCACTGTGAGCCCTTTGTCTTTATATAAACAATATATATTTTCAGTACATCAATTTACCAGGAAAATACTTCCCTCGAGGCATAGGTCTGCTTTCTGAACACATTAGTATGACTTAAATTTCTGTGATACCATTACAGTGATTTAATGCCTTCTTTAAAAACTGTACAAATAGTGTAAAATGTAGTTTGTGGAGTTATAACGTAGGCGGTTAGAGCCTGAGGAAAATCAACACTACAGTGGTTAATGATTTGCATGTTTTGCACATGTGCTCATGCATGTGTACATGCACTCCTAGTAGCTTAACCTCAGGGTCTGGGTGTTGTCCCTGAGTCTCTCTGTGCTCAAGGCTAGCACTCTACCACTTGAGCCACAGCACCACTTCTGGCTTTTTCTGTTGATGTGGTATTGAGGAATCGTCCCCAAGTCTTCATGCATGCTAGGCAAGCAGTCTACCACTAAACCACATTCCCTACCCCTTTTTTAGCTTTTTCCTTTTTTTTTTTTTTTTTTTGTCGGCCGTGGGGCTTGAACTCTGGGCCTAGGCCCTGTCCCTCAGCTTTTCAGCTCAAGGTGAGCGCTCTACCACTTGAGCTACAGTGCCACTTCCTTTTATAGCTTTTTCTTTCTGGTGCCAGTCCTGGAGCTTGAACTCAGACCCTGTGCACTGTCCCTGAGCTTCTTTTGCTCAAGGCTAGCACTCTACCACTTGAGTCATAACTCTACTTTTTTTTTCTTTTTTGATTAATTGCAGATAAGAGTTTCATATACTTTCCTGCCTGGGCTGGCTTTGACCAGCAATCCTTGGATTTCAGCCTCCTTAGAAGCTAGGGTTACAGGTGTGAGCCACTAGTGCCTGGCTCGTTAATATTAACTAAGGACATTGAAAAAAACTTAGCATTACCTGGCAAGGGATCGCACCGCCCCATTCTTGCTGAACAATGTTACAGACACCAACCAGTGCGGACTCTAGGCATGTCTTGTTGTAATCGTCCATGTTACTCAGTGCTTCCTTATTGGGCGAGAAAAAAATTGCTCATTATTCTCTGCTGTTTTGTTATTAGAAACCAATATAAACTGTACAAAGTATGAATATCATACAGCGAACACTGAGTTTCTGTAAGCCCCAAAACATAGATTCCAGAAAACA